AAGGCTTCAAACAGTGCCTGGCACAGTGTTGTTGTCTAATTTTATCTCTGAAATTGATGATTTTCAGGGAAGATCTTCAGCACCAACATTAGCACTACCACCTAAAGAACGCTTTAATGACATTCTCATAGGCTACAACAAAGCGCTTTTTGGGTAACTATTTTGATAAAATTGTAAACTTATAGAAAAGTAGCAAGGATAATATGAGGGTTTCCTGTCTACGATTTATTCACATCTGCCAATTGTTTGCTTGTTTGCTTTATGTTCCTTCTTTTCCCCTTCCCCTCTATAAGCATATATACATATGTTGTGTTTTTTAACCATTTGAGAGTTAAGTTGGAGAACATCATGCCCCTTTGCCTTGAAATACTTCAGTGCATATTTCTGAAGAACAAAAACATTCTCTTTCATGAGCACAGTACAACTATTAAAACCAAAACATTTAACATGGGTACAATATTCTTAACTAACCTCCAGTTCATATTCCAGTTTCATTAATTGTCTCAATAATGTTCCTTTTTGCTATTTCCCCCCCTGGCTCAGAATCCAATTCTGGACCATGTGTTGCTGTTAGGAGTCGTGTGAGAGTTCCTTTTAAGTAACGGCACAAAGGTCCTCCAGCTTGCTGCAGGAATCTTGATGCCTGCTGGTCAGCAGGGTTCCAGCCAGGATGACCAGCGCGTGTGGCGCCATCTTGTGGCAATAGCTTGAATAGCGTTTATAAATCACCTCGTTAGACAGTTGTGAAATAATGGATGCCCTTCTTGATGACCTAAAACAAAAATGAAGTGATATTCATACTATCTGTTTTTCTTCATAATGTGGGAAACTATGTTTTAAGCATGTTGCTGTTTCAAATACACATACTTTAACTTAGCATAATACGATATTTTGCTGTATTTCAAATCTGGAACCACACAGGTGAAGTCTAGGGCAGTGGGTAAAAGTGTGGGCTTGGCCTGAGACATCTTTGGGAATACATCTGGGTGCCGCAATATTCTGGCTGTGTGATGTCTGGCAAGCCCCTCTCTGGGCTTATGTTTACTTCTGCAAAATAGGCCATACGGAGACTTCTACCTGCAGGAACATTTAACAAGGTCATGCATAGTTCCTAGCACTGTGCCTGATATGTGAGAATTCTTCAATAACGGTTAAGAGATTATTACTATTTGTTCAACTTTTTGTGAGTAGACAAGTTCAGACCTGAAGTAAAATTCACCTCAAGAGCTTTAACCCCCCTAATCAAAACCATATTCCGTCAACACATATTTATTGATTCCCCAAGTCCCAACTATGTAGCAGGCATTGTTCTAGGGGCTGGGGAGACAGTGGTGCCCAAGACAAGGTCTTTGCCCTCATGGGAAAATTTATATTCTGGTTTGGGGGAAGACAGCTACAAGATAAACAACAAAAATATTCTTTAGCGTTAAGTGCTAGGTAAGGAGTTCAAATATGCTAAAGAGCCTGGCTCTTTTGGATTTGGGATGGTCAGGGAAAGTCTTTAAAAGAGGTGAGATTTGAACTGAGTTCTGAAAGACAAGAAGGAGCCAGTCATGCGAAGATCAGGATCGGGGTGAACAGTTCAGGCAAAAGGAACAGCAACAAAGGCCCTGAGGTGGGAACAAGCTTGTCTTTTTGGAGGGGCAGAAAAGAGGTTAGTGTGTCTAGAACATGGTGGTCAAGGGCAAGAGTAGCTTGAGATGAAGTTAGAAAGATAGGCAGCGGCAGCTCACATAGGGCCCTGAAGGCCATAGTAAGGCTTTTAGCTTTTATTCCACATGGGATGGGAAGCCATCTATGTGTTCTATGCAGATCAACAAGGTGTTTTAATTTTACCGAGGGTAGAAAAAGCTTCATTTCAAAGTCAGCCCAAAGTCCACTAGCCTAGCACAACCACTGAAACATTTTGGGAATCTCCTATGTGTTAAAACATTGAATATGCATGGTGTCTTTTATTACAACTTCTGAAAGAAACAAATTGCATAAAAAGAAAATTGGAACTAACATTTATAGAATCCCTGAGGCTTATCTGTACTTCTGCCAAACACTTAAAATGACTCTAAAAGGATCTTCCCAACACAGTAGCATCTAGGGTGGGGTTTAGTAACTTCTGGCTGGGGAGTCAAAGATATTATTTCAACATTTCTTTATAACGTGGGAAACTTTTTTAAATAAAAGCTTTTTTTTTAAACGGTGCCAGACTTCTTTGAGAATTGGATCAATGCTACGGACTTTCTCCCCTGAAAACACTCTGCTTGGGATGAAGAAAGAGGGAATTCTGATTCCCCCTGCTTTCATCTCCTAATTGCCCATGTGGCAAGAAGGTTCCCCTGCCCCCACGGCCACTGCCACCACTGCCAGGGATAGACCCCCAGACCTTGTGGGATAGAGTAGAAGCCTCCCCATTTGGGAATTGTAAGAGTTGGTCCATGCAGCTTTTCCAATTACCACTGGGAGCCCAGTCTCTGGGAAAAGGGTTGAAATGGACTCTAGGGGCTAATGTCTGCTACCTGGGGACAGAAGGGGTCTTTGAGGAGATGCCCTCTCCATCCCACAGGGCAGGATTCTTAAATCACTTTTTCTGAATCAAGAGGCCTTTGAGCAAACATGATGAGAAGCTACCAGCCCTTCTCCCCAGAAAAATGCATTGGCAGCCCATATTTATAGTTATGGGCGGGGAGTTCACAGAACAGATTAGAGGGTAGAGAACAATTTGGGGTTTTAGGGCATTTTCTCCTCAATCACCCTTTATGTGGAAATTGAGAGACAGGCCCCCGAAAGATAATTAAGTGGTTTGCTGAAGCAACGCAGGGGACAAAAATAGGGCCAATACTTTCTATTTTTCTACATGATATGAGTTCAAAGCACAGGCTCTTGTATGAGACTGCCAGGGTTGAAATCCTACCTTCACCCCTAACTTGTCCTGGGATAAGTAACTGCTGCACCAACCTCCAAGAGCGTGTTGACAGCACTGGTGGGACAGAACCTGGCCTCTAAAAATTGCTAAATAAATTCAATTCATATTTTGCAATGAGGAAAGATAGGCTCAGAGAAGTGAAGTTATTCTGATGACACAGGAAAGGCATGATTAGAACTAAGGACTGTCCAGCTCCAAAGCCAGCGAGCGATGTTCACCCCCAGACCAGTGTTTTTCAAACTGCAAGGCATGACCCATTAGTGGGTCAGAAATCAGTTCAGCAGGGTCTCAAACAGCGCTGAAAAAAATTAAATATCAGAGTGCATCATACATAAGAGTAAATAGAATTTCACGACACTTGTTTCATTATAAGTACCCATATGTGTGTACCAGGCCTTAAAATAGTTTGAAAGCCATTACTAGTGCCCCAAGGAGTTTCTACACAAGCATATGGGAGGTTTCAGTGAGATAATCCATCCTGTCCCCTAGGAGGGGCAGGGATTCCAGTCACTAGGAAGACTTGAGGTAGGGGATAGGGGATAGGCTGTGAGCTGTTAGCATGAAGAGGAGAAAAGAGGGTAGGCTACAGTAACCTTGAGCCTAGATTAGAGCAGAAGGGTGAAACATATTCCCCAAGGGCCCACTCTGTGCCAGGCCCTTTGCTGGGCAGTTAGATACGCAATGATGAATGAGACAGTCCCGGTGTTTTCCCTCTTGGGGCTCTCTGTGCAGCGGAGACAGACCTGTCACCAGACAGCAAGACTCTAAAATGGCCAGGGCTGCGGTGGGGGAGGCATTGGTCAGAGTTATCAACACTGTGATGGGGCAAGACCATGAATCAGGAATACAGAGCATCAAGTTCCAAGCTGGAAACCCATTTATTAGCTAAGGACTAGTTCCAGTATTAGGTCTACGTATGGGGAAACTGCGGCCCCCCCACCCCCCCACCCCCAGCAGGACTTGCCAGACACACTCTCAAAGACTTAGATGGACCCAGGATTCTTCAACTCCCAGCCAGGTCTTCTAGAAAAAGTATGCACTAATCAATACATACTTGCCAAGCTGTGTGGCACACTGGAACCCAAATTCATAAGCTAACAAGTCCCACCCAACCTATTCGAGGGATGGGATTGGGAGCCAGCTGTCTCACAGCCGTCTAGTACACCAGCTAATAAATGGGCCAGGATGTGTGCAAAATTTTTCTTGTCGGGTGATTTTAAGGCCTTTGCAGGCCAAAGTTATTCCACAAAAAAGTTATACCCCATATTCAATTGCATATATATGATAAGCAGGTAAGAATATTTAAGCAGGTAAGAATACATAGGATATCTAATTGATATAAACTGTCCTGTTTTCATAAAATAGTCCAATAGCCCCATGGCGCAGGTATGATTGTTTCCATTTTGCAGATGTGGATACTGAGGCACAGAAAAAATGGTGGAGCCTTCTGTCCAGTCACCAGCAAGAAAATGAAAAGCTGGGTTTATGTGGCTTCAGAGCCTGAGCTCAACCATGAGAAACATACTGAAAAGCCAACCCCTGCTGACGCCAGGTCCAGGGCTCTTCACAAGCTTCGGAACCTGAGAGGAAGAGCCAGATTCGGGTAAAACAAGATCAAAGCGTATCTAAATAAGGACCAGGGCCTGCCGGGAAACATCACCGCGACTAGCCTCTGGGTAAAGCCGGCATCAATCAAGGTCCTACTGCGCCTGCTCACTCCTGTCTCTCTTTCCGTCAGGCGCCTGCGCAGGCCCATCCCTAACCAACATCGGCTCAAACTTGTCTATTGTACGCAGGCGCCCTGCTCTGAGTCCGTCTTCTCCTTTTCTTTGCGCTTGCGCTCTAGCGGTCTCCGAGTCCAGCTCTGGATCTTTTTACGTCAATTCCTGTTTGTGGC